CCACGTTGTCTCAGTTTTTAAAAGGGAATTTTATCGCAGTTGAGAGAAATATACTTTCTAATGTCATTTCCTGTGGAGTATAATTATTCAGTCGTCAGAATTGGAATACATGTACATGTGTATTCCTACCTTATCACTGAAATGCAACATCTGCAATTTGAGGGAAGAAAATATGTGTGTGCTATTTTTATAAATGAAATAAATATTCATACACCTAATTGGAAAATAACAGCTGTACAGTGTAAACTTGAATTTTTTTTATATACAAAAGTCCACTTTTATAAAAGGGTTTTCTCTTATCTTTAGCAATATTCAACAAACAAACGTCTATTTAAACCGTAAGAAATAGTTTTGAACTTCGACAGACTTTTCGTTAAAATATTCATTAGTTTATGTTTTTAAATATGAAAAAGGTTGACAAATATTAAACACAAGATGTTTTGCAATTTGATCTATCCAGACGGATGGTGTGAATTACACTATATTGTCGGTTACAGTGACGTTAATATTACCGCAAGTTTTGGACCACAATATTTTATAACTTGTAAATTTACACTCCTTTGTTTTTTTTTAATTTTCAAGATATTTGAACAACTTTTTTTCTTCCTGAAAAAATATGGATAACATTTATAAATATTTCTAGAAAATAATATTTGCACATAAACAACACGCTAATTGACGTGAAAAAATATTCTAAATGATGTGTTGTAACTGAGAAAAAAAATATTTGAAGATGAGCAAACAATATTCAGTGCAGAAATAAATTAATTTAAAAAAAATAAATTTATCAACTTCATGTATAATTATAAAGAGTAACTTGAAAATATGTCTTTTTTAGTCAAAATGCTATCTCATTCTGTAGAAAGTAACTGAAAAAAGTTTACAGTATGACTCTCTCTCTCTCTCTCTCTCTCTCTCTCTCTCTCTCTCTCTCTCTCCTTGGTAGGTCTCTACCCCTTTTAATGATGGGGTATATTTGGTCTTGTCAGGGGGCCGACAGATTTACCGCCCATTTAACGTCACTCTGCCCCGTCCTTTACCACGTTATCGGCCGCTATCATGCTAAACTTATCAGGCCCGGCATCAAGTCTAATTTTTGTACTTTGAAGTTAAAAGCAAAGTATCCATAAATTTCATTTTCTATATGGCCAAGTTAAGCCCTGAGAGGGCCTTTGTGGAGAAAAACATTCTAAATTATTTCTGAACAAAGATCCGAACTAAGAATAACAGTTCACGATTGAATTTTAAGCTACACATTGAAAAAAATATACAAACACGAGCTGTCATAGATTCTAGCTAGAATGTTCCCATAAAATTTATTTGCCATAAAACTGAAGCAAAACACGAATATAAAGGATTGGCAAAATTAAAAATTCTAAATCTCAGTAATAAAAAACACCACCATATATCTTGACAGAGGAGTTTTAATTTGTTGGAGCGTCAAAGGCATAATCGTAAATCACCACAGAATATGAGAGACCCGTATTGTTGACTATTTTTCGCCATGTTGATATCGCTAGGGGCGATCATAGTGCCATATTTTTCAAACAGCATACAATAATGCAGGTATCAAAAATTTATGATTTGCACTAGATAGTCCTCATTTAACAGCATCATTATAATGAAACAATTCTAACATTACAGTAAACAATTAAAGAATTGTTATTATTGGGCATGCTGGGGGAAATATTTTGACAAAAAATTTTAAAAAGTAGCACTTCCACAATATTTTCTTTAAATTTCTGTTATGATTTGATCAATATTCTGATTGACTGAAATCCTATGTAGCAAAATGAATAAAGGAAATTTTTTATATAAATTATATGTAATTTTTTTAATAAAAAAGATAAATTTGTGTATATAGGAGCTACATATTTCATGAAATAATTGTGGCAAAAAAAGTTAACTGTGTCTAATTTTAACTTGTTACATGCAGGGAGAGGGGTTAAGTTTTTCGAATTTGTGCTCATTGTATTAAAATTACAATAAAACATGTTCAATCTAAAAAAAATGAATGAATTAATTAACAATGAATTTGAACCAAAAAAAAAACAAAAACAAAAGCCAAAAAAAAAACAAACAAACAAAAAAAAAACCAAAAAAAAAAAAATAAAAAAAAAAATAAGGATTTGGATTTGACAAAATTGTAAGAAAATATCTTGCGACATATAGATAAAAAATTCCTTAAAGATCATAAGAAATATTTTTTACCGTCTGTTTTATTTGGAAGCATGTATCTGTATGCAAAGTATGTCACATTCAAAGGAACAAATGTCATTTTGGCAATTAATTTTTTGACAGAGTGAAGAGCTTTCGCAGGCAATTAATAATCTGTTGATAACATCTTTCTTCCGACTCGTCCTTGCGCCGCCATGGGGGACAGATTGGCAATTTGTACAATGGAAATTCTGTCATTCTATTACGGGAATTTATCAAGAGCAATTCTTCTCTTGCAAGGAAAGTGACAAAAACAAAACGAGTGATAATGTATCGGGAGCGAAGCTGACATGTTGATGGCAAAAGCTGACAGTTCATCAGTGGTAGGAGAAACACAAGTCTTACTGCTATTTTCTCCGAATAGTCGCTTCCCCTGATATCTGTCAAACGGGCTCTCTAATTATAAAATACAAAATGGCCGGCTTGCACATTGTAGTATAGACTAGTTATAGAGTGAAGGCAAATTTTTTAATTTCATTTTGTGTTTGTATTCTTTCAATTTCTTTTAATATTTTCGTGAATTTTTGTTTTGAAAACATGACATTTTGCAACAGGGAACCGATATTTCAGTTGCAAAATTTCCAGATTTACTTTTTTCAAAAAAAAAAAAAGAAAAAAAAAACAAGTTTGATTTGGAAACTCTTGTGAATCAATAATTATTCATATTTGAATTGCGTCCCAAAGCTATTTTGCTTTCACGTGTTTTTCTTAGAGGCAAAAATTGGTAAACATGTCGTTTTGACACACAAAGAATACTTGTGCTAAGATGGTACAGTTGTAAATCTCGTCTGACTAACTAAAATATTGAAGTATATAAAATTATAAATATACATAAATGTGCTTCATATTAAGGTGTAAGGTGTCTATGAGAACATTTTTTTTTCTTGTGCCCTTACAAATGTGCAACTTGCCAAAGAAATGGCACCTAGCAGGGATTATATTTTGAGAGAAACAGCCGCGTAGGAAAATATCACAAAATTTGCATTTGAAATATTATATTGCTGAGATAGCTACAGATCTGCAGCTAAGAAAAATTACAAATATTTAGAAAATTCGAGTTAGCAAGTTTTTATTTCGGTAATATTATTAATGTTGCTAACTAATATAACTTTTGAATATAATTTTTTTTTAAATACAATAATTTTTAAATGAATACATCTATGAGGCGCCATTTTGGTGATATCACTTATTCAAAACGAATAGGTGTGATCAACTATTCCATGAGGTGTTTTCACCTATTCCAATAGGTGATATCACCTTTTCCAATATGTGATATCACTTATTCGAATTGAATAGGTGATAATACTTAAAAAAGCTGATATCACCTTTTCGAACACCTATTGGAAATGAAAAGGTATATCACATTTTTTTTGTGAAATCATCTATTCGTGCTGAATAGATGATATCACAATAATTTTCACCTATTCGAATAAGTAATATTACCTATTCAAATAGGTGATATCACCTAGAATGGATGATATCACAAATTCGAGTTAGCAAGTTTTTATTTCGGTAATATTATTAATGTTGCTAACTAATATAACTTTTGAATATAATTTTTTTTAAATACAATAATTTTTAAATGAATACATCTATGAGGCGCCATTTTGGTGATATCACTTATTCAAAACGAATAGGTGTGATCAACTATTCCATGAGGTGTTTTCACCTATTCCAATAGGTGATATCACCTTTTCCAATATGTGATATCACTTATTCGAATTGAATAGGTGATAATACTTATTCAAAAAGCTGATATCACCTTTTCGAATTGATGATGTCACCTATTGGAAATGAAAAGGTGATATCACATACTTAAGTATTCGAATATGTGAAATCATCTATTCGTGCTGAATAGATGTTATCACCTATTCGAAAAAGTGATATCACCTATTCGAATAAGTAATATTACCTATTCAAATAGGTGATATCACCTAGAATGGATGATATCACAAATTCGAATATGTGATATAACTTTTTGGCAGTAAATACAAAAACGGAGCCTCGTATACATCATTAATAAGTTCATCAAGATTCAATGGCTTATGAAATTTATTTTACAGAACAGTTATTGTGACTTTAGTCATTTACTCATATGTTTTGATATATTATTCAACAATCCGCCTTTCTTTACACCAGATTCGAAAGGCCAAGCAATGACAATCTGGAAATCAAAGAAAAAAAGTTTCAAGAAGATGAGACAGACTCTTTTGATGTTCAAGCATTAAAAATCTTCAATGACAGCTTAAAGAATGAAAGCTTAATTAAACGATATGTTTTATTTGCTTCAAACTGAAGGTTAATTAATCAAACCCCTGGATAATTGATCAGGTCCTATTGTCACTCAAGCTGCTTTGTAGAAATGAACATGTCTGATTGACAAATTTTGACAGATAATTTTGCTTTTTTCATTTGATAGAATTAGTCTGAGCGTAAAACTTTTTTGAAAGGAGAATTCTTTTTTCATAACTTAGTTAAATTGACCTGTGTAATCCTTAAAACCACAGAGCCGCCCAATTCTCACTTTTCTAAAAACGTAACCAAGAATACCAAAAATTGTTTATTTGAGCTTTTGCCATATTGTAAGTGTATATATATAATTAAAATTTTGCGGGATTATAAACTTTTTATGAACACCTTTCCAGAATATTTTAAACAAAAAATCAGCCAGAGAAAAAGACTGTAGAGCATTGCCGTTATATGCTTATCCAATTCTGAATATCACCCACATTTAATAGGGTGAAATTATTCCCCCAATCAGTGGTATCCATCTTGTTAGTGTT